TTCGCTAACGCGGGTGCATCTCCATTTTACTATTAATCGTGTTATGTATTGTATTTGTAACCCCTTACACAGTGTATACTAGTTGAAATCGATGCTAAGGAGCAGTCCGCTCAAGAGCTGTCAATTCCATACGACTGTCATTCGAGTCCTACCCTCTTCGACTCACATAAGTTATCCATAAAACCTTCTCTGGTTCACCAACCCGGTCCTCAGCAGAAGCTGCAGGGGCCTACCAAGGTTGGCTCCGAGCTCACATTGATCCGCCATCACCACTACTGTCTCTACGGCCTCTGGCCGGCCCTGTCCTGCTGACCCTTGATCAGCTTGCCAGAGGAATTCTATGCTCCCCCGACCATTCCATTGGTACATAGACTGCGACTGAGGATTCCACATGTACATCTTCTTCTCACTGCCACTATAGCAGTACTTCAGACCTGACTTCTACTCATACAACAGCACATCACCAACTACCTACCAGTCTGGTTATCGCTGATCCACTTGTTCGTCATTTGCCCTGCCAACTCCCCGCCCACCGCTGCAGCTCGCATCAGCATCTCAGGGGTCGACTCGGGTCCTGGACAGAGGTTTCAAAAACGGCCCTAAGGGGCACTGTCCTCTCACTTTGATCGTCCTCACTCTCCGTTTCGCTACTATCAGAGGAGCTAGAGGACTTGAACTCAGCATCAATATCCACCTGCTTGAGATCAGCCTGTGTGACGCCCTTCTTCGGGCGGCTCTTCCTCGTCATCACTCTAGACAAAAGCCTTACTGGTCAAACAATGTTCCACACTGCCAATACTCGGAACTCAACTATGCCTTTTACGACAACATTTAAATCCACGATAACAACACGAACCATGAACGGATATTTTCAACCAGCGGCTCCAGCCTCACGTAGGCCGATCTTATGGTAGTTCTTGCGGACAGTCGCTGTGAACTCACCCGTCTTCTTAGGGTGACGAGATGTACCTCAAAGTCGAATTGCATCAAGTCGTGAGTAATTCATCACTACCTTCTGATAGCCTCGGATTTGCTCTCCGATAACTAAGCGAATTTGTGGTTGCGAACCTGCCAAATTTCCTGAAAACCGCACTTTCAAAAAAGCTCCTACCGCTCCCTCTGCACTTCTTCAGCCCATCTACTACGA